CTTACCGAATGGAACTTCTGCTGATATTTCTCTGAAGACAGCCCCACCCAATCTAGGACGGCCTCCTAAACCTCATTGTAGTTCCTGGCCTGCTCTTCGCTCAGGGCCACATAGGCTACTTGAGCTTCTTCAGCGAGGTAGGGAGCCAGTCTCAGGGCCCAGGTTGCCCTATCCCATCCAGCCCCCATGGCTATGCCCTCGAACATGCAGAGAAACGCACGTGGGTCATCTGCGGGGCTCATTTTACATAGTCCTTGGCCAGGTGCCCATGAGCCATCCCCCCTCCCCAGTAGGGCTCACCATCCTCTGCAGGAGCTACTGTTGGATGCTGGTCTGTTCCCATATAAAGTCCTGCAGGCTCTTTTGCTGCTTGGCCTACCAGGTAAGCAAGGCCTGCCTCTCTACTTGGTGGACTTGCTGAAAACCTTGCATAGCCTTCTGCATTTCTGCCTGCTGCTTTACCAGCCACTGCAGGGTCTCCTCCATCTCTGGGACGCCAAACTCTTGCAATGGCTCAGGATCTTGGACAAGCCCCCATATGTAACAGGGTGTAGCAGGGCCCTCCTCAGTCCTGCCTCTGCTCTGTTCCAAAAATCACTCAGAGACCTCCTGGCTCAGCAGTCACCGGTACAGTTTATTTACACAGTGCAAATCCACCACCTCTCACCACATATTGCTGGGGGTCCCAGCCTTAGGGGCTTCTCTTTCTTGCAGCCAGGAGAGGAGTGCTACCTCTCTCCTTTCCTTTCCACTCTGCTCGCTTGCTTGCTTCCTCTGTGCCTGTATATAGCCCCAGGCTAATCAGGTTGGCAGCTGTTCTGGCTCTGCCAATCAGTCTCAGGTTCCTCTAGTTAGCTCCAATTCACCTACCTTACTTGGAGCTGGAGTGACAGAGGGCTTGCTCAGCAGTTCCTGATCAGCACCCTGTCACAGGACCCAGGTAACCTCATAAATGTTGATTCAGTAGCTCCTTCCCCAACTGTGCTAGCCTACTTGGGCCTGGCATAAAGCCTCACTCTGGAAGAAGCAAAGAGTACAGTACCCCTCCAAGTCTGCATGGCTGCTCAGCCTGTTCCTTCCCCCCTCAGAGCCATTGTGGGACTTAAGTGTTGCAGTGGACATTGTATAGACCCTATTCATCTGGGTGAATTTTTTTTCTCCTTAAAAAAGGAGATTAGCATCCCATCATGCTTCATTAGACATGCAAAAACAGTCTAGAAAAATCTTGAGTGGCTTAAAACTTGCTTTTTCATTCTCCCATCTTAACTAAAATGATTTAGTTGGAAAAGTTATTATATGGTTTAGATAAGAAATTAAAATTATGTGTTCTACCAGCAAGCAACAGGTTTCTTTTCATTCTGTATTAAAGTTATTTTTAAGTCAGTGACTCTCAAATAGGAATTATTTTTGGTGACCCACAGAAGGGAAAAAAGTTTGAGAACCAAGCACTGTTGCCATGGATAAGGTAGGGGATTGCGGGGAGGCCATCGAAGGATCTTATGAAGTGGTCCTTGACATCAAAAGTGTAAGAACTTCTGCTAAAAGTTAGTTTTCACTTCAACCAAAACACAGAAAAATGATCTACTTTCCCATTGGACAGAAACAAAACCAGTGAGGAGATAAATATTACTGTCAGGCTTCTAAGAGGTTGTGACAGAGAGTGACGCTGCTAGTCACTCATTACATCTGTACAAGAGAAAAATAAATTAAATATTCTTGGCAATTTTATATCAGTGTTCTCCAAAAGAGAAATGAAATTTTGTTTACATGCTGTAATATTAATTCTGAACCAATATAAGTCATTCATTCTGCCACTCCATCAACCATGTGAGGCAAAGCCAAGAAAATAAAAGTAAAAGTTGTGTATTGTCTGTCTGACTTCATGTGTTCTTTGTCCCTCTTTACTCCACAAGGTCCATGACTGAATTAAACTTTTATTTCTTTAATTTAGCAACTTTGTGCAAATGTGAAAATGAAATATATTTGAAAATAGGTAAGCTGATCAAATAGCTTACTGTTGTGTCCTGGTTATCATCTGGTCAGCCATTCCATATTATGTTTGTACTGTATTTAGAGCTGTACCTACCAATCCTTATTCATAAGAGTAGATTTTAGTCACATGAACACCTACATGAGTAAGGGTGTATAAGATGGAGTCCCTAGAATACTCCTTGAGACTAGGACTTTGTCTTCCTCTGTCTGATACTGTGCTGATTAAATAATAATGTAGGATGAAGAAATAACCATCTGATTTGTAGTATTTGCATATTTAGTTCTATCAAGAGTGCATGCAGGAACATTTGATTTTTCAGACTTGTTTCTGGCATTTAAAGTGACTGTCGCTTCATAGTATTAGCTAACCAAACATTTAGGGACACTGCTCCCTCTCTGCTCTCAGATTGGCCACTTTTACTTTTTGTGTGGGTGTTTTGCTTTCCTCCCTTATCTGTTCTTGTTTCTCTTCCTTTCATCTTTGTCTCTTTCCATACCTTCCTCTTCTCTTATTTCCTCTTGTCTTTTATAGTGGGCCCTTTCAAAAAAGCTGACATAGATGGAAATTTCCATATATTCATGCACTAGTCAAAAGTATATTTAAATATATTTAAAATATATTATACAAATATCTTTGTTATTGTTTCTTTACTATGTTTGTGGTGAAATGTCAATTTTCCTCTTGGTTCATGAGGTAGCTCAGAAGCAAGGTGAAGTATCATTAGAGGAAATGTATTTTATCAGGATTGGAGCTTGTGGAGACAGAATCATAGAAGTGTAGGGCTGGAAGTGACGTTGAAATCATCAAGTTCAGCCCCCTGCGCTGAGGCAGGACCATGTAAATCTGGACCATCCCTGACAGGTGTTTGTCCAACCTGTTCTTTAAAACCTCCAGGGTTCCTGTTGAAGCCCAGAGACATCATAAGTGTTTAGTAGTACATGGCATGTTTCTGTTAAGGCGGTTTCTTTGTAAAACAGGTATTGGTATGCAGACATTTGCAAGGAGCAATTAGCTTTTCAAATAGGGATGCAGTCGACTCTGTAGTGAAGGATCTCACTAATACAGGGTGAAATTCACTTCTCCCCATTCAAAGCTGGAGTAAATGGGCTTGTGTGTGGATCTAGGTAGTGGTTCAGGAGGAATAGGGAGGATAATGTTAATCCACTGAACCAAGTGATAAGGCATATGGCTACAGCACTATGCAGCAAAGGCCTGCAGCTCGGTGGGTTGAGAGAGTTGCCGCTGTGCATTTAGCTATGTGTTGGTTCTTCCATTAAATTCACGTAAGTGCCTGTCTAGTGGTCTCTTCCCAGCATGCCCCCAAAAACCATCTATGGTGCACCAGAGGCACAGATGCCCCTTTCATGATGGCAGGTGAGTTCCATCCACACACACCTAAGCTCAAATGGTGGGCGCTCAACTGTCATAAAGGGTTTTCACAGGCCCCTGGATGAAAGTGAATTACACCCATAGAAAGTGACATCTGCTTTACCGTCCATTCTTTCCATGATGTAAATTACCTCTCTTGGGGGAGATTTATTACCTGTGTAAATTGCAATGCCAATCCCAATCTCTGTCTCATTTTTCATGCTAGTAAAACACCATTGAAAAATAACAATATTAAAAAAGAAAAAAAATTAAGTGAAAAGACAAAAACAGGACCATTTTAATCATTCAAAGCCAGATTTGCCAGTGTGCTAAGTCCATTTGCACTGTGTAAATGGTCCAAAATTGCCTTAAAGTACCTATTGATGGTCAGAGGAGAATTCATCCTTTGTAGAAGAATTCTCTGTTGCTGTAAAGCTGGCAGAGGTGTCATAACTACTTCTTAAACCAGCAGCACCTCTTCTCACCTTGAGTCTAAGGGGGCATGATAGAGCAGAGGGACTTTGTTTCTCAGGGAATCTTACTCCAGTGACGTAAGTTAGAGCTGCTCTTAACTTGCATCTCTAACTTGCACTGGTCTCTAGGCAGCTCAGGCCCATAACGGCACAACAGGCTCCTTATGAATAGACCAAGTAGAAAATTGATCTCTCAATTTCTAATAGCTTCTCCTTTTACTTTCCTGTTCAGAAATTCCCCTTACAATCTACATAGCTCCATGATTACATAATACAGATATTTTTTTCATCTACCCATAATGTGTCTTTTAAAACAGTTTTCTCTGAAACACTCTTCTGTCATGATCAATAAAAATCTCATCCTGGAAATATGTTATGCAGTGACAATGAAAGGTTCATGTCTCACGATAGCCTTTGAAATAAAATTAGCACATTGTATTAGAAAACTGCCTCTGTAAGTGTGATAATGAGTGCTTTCCCAGTGATTTCATCCAATTAAATAAATTAATTCACTTTTACTTTGGAAATTGCAGTTCATTATTTTGAGGTTTACATTGTTTGGCTTTGGCTTTGAGGGAGGAGAGAATTCTGTCTGCAGAGACCAGTTGGATTATTTTACATTCTGGCAATACAGAAAGAAAGTAGGGCTCCAAAGGATAGCTGACAGCATACGCAGTGTTTAGGTATTTTGGTAAAGAACATGGAAAGCAATGTGCCACTGAAGTTTCTAAAATGAAGTAAATCTTTGATTTTTTTTTTTGCAGGGATCATCTCTTTATCCATAATATGAGGGTATACCTCTTTATAGTAACATGGTTTTTTGTCAGAGAAGTGAAAAATGGCATGTTACACAATTCTGTAACCAAGTTGCCGCATTCTAAGTGTATGCAGACTTTTTTAGATATATGGAACCAATAAAAAAAATAACAGACTGAACTTGCTTCTAATCATGGGCATAGGTCTTTTTTATTTTATTTTTTAAGTCTTCATGCATATGGCAATGGACAGACTTGAAAGTGTCACGAATTGAAAATGTAAAACATATCCAGCAAATGAAGGAGAGAGAGGGTGAGGAAGCAGCATGGAAGCTATAGTGATAAATTTGTCCATCTGCCCTAGAGCTTCGGCTGCTATTTATAGCCCTTTTAATTTTCTTTCCTATTCAGGACAGCAGCAAAGTGTACACAACCCATGTTTCCTACTTGGAAATCTACAATGAATGTGGTTATGATCTGTTGGACCCAAGACATGAAGCCTCCAGATTGGAAGATTTGCCGTGAGTAACAAAACTACAAAGAATCAGCAGGGATAAAAAAATCACTTTCAGATGCCCTGTTTCGTTGTTTTCCTTTGAAACTGTATGATACTGACCTCAGACTTAATTAACTCAAAATAGTTCATTTTTATCAACTTTTTCAAAAGCTTCCATTATTATATTTTGTATGTATAGACATTGTGAAAAATGGATAAGAATAATTGAAGGTGAAGGTGTACGAGACTGATATAATTGGGGGAAAAGGTTCACAGGAGCCAGTACAAGAAAAGAGAAGGAGGAATTGTTCTTCCTTGTGACAATTCATCCACTTCACCCTATGCTGTAGGAGTGACAAGACGTATAGAACAGGGCAGCATTCCTCGAAACTAGTACACAGAAACCTATTTCAGTTATGCGCCTTTCCTTCAGGAGT